GTATTAAAGTGTCACTGCCCCAATCCCCAATAACCCTCATATGCACCATATGAAGAACCTTGTAGCATCATAATAAGGATTTATGAACAGGAGTTTTGTTGCATATTACAAGTGGAAACATCAGTTAAACAAGTACTCCTTGGATTTATATTCCATATAACTCAAACATGCCTCCTAGAAGTTCTATAGTCCTTTCAAGTCCTTTTCTATTGCAAGTCAAAATGGCTTGCAGTTTGTTACACTGATTCTAATCTCTTCAAATTAAAACAGAACAGAGTCAAGATGCTGGTCAAGTGAGAGTGTACCTTTATTTATTAAATGATGAGTGAGGAAAAAGAAAGGAGTGGAAAGGAGAGAAAGGGAGAGGAAGGAAGAGGAAGGAAGAGGAAAGGAGAGGAAAGGACAGGAGAAGAAAGGAGAGAAAAGGAGAGAAAAGGGAAGGAAAAAGGAAAGGCAAGGAAGAAGGCAAGGCAAGGAAGAAGGCAAGGCGAGGAGAGGTGAGGTGAGGTGAGGGGAGGGGAGGAGCAGGGGAGGCAAGGAGAGGAGGAGGGGAAAGGATGGGAGGGGAGGGGAGCGGAGGCGAGGGGAGGGGAGGCGAGGCGTCAACACTACAATTTCTGTGGTGTCCCAAGATCAGCAGTGCCTTTTTGCCGTATGATGATCCCCTCCAAATGAGCCAGGAGATGCTGACAGGTGGAGAGTGTCTGATATCATGCGCCATGTGCATGCTGTGCTGGCTGTGCTTCTTTCTCTGCATGGTGGTCATGGGGGGTCATGGTTGGGAGAGACCCAAAACCACCTCTAACAAGACAACTAACTCCTGGCTTCTCCAAGGTTGGCACAGTTTTGTTTTGTTACTCACCAGTTAGCCGCAAGTCTGTATCTTAACCAAGCAGAAAGAGAGCAAGAATTCACCGTTACAGTTTTGTATGGTGTCATCACGGAGTCTGAGCCAGAAAGAAACACAGCACTTTATTCCCACAGTATCATTTCCACTACAACTGCGCAGTCTATTTCCACATAGTGTGTACCAGCTGACATTGGTAGTACAACTGAATTACTGTACTCTGTCCTGTTACCAGCTGTTCTGAAATGATGCTACAGCAGTGACTGGACTTAACAGAGGAGAAACACAACAAGGAGACACACCTTAAACAAATCTAAAACAAAACCAAAACCCATATCACTTAATCATTTTTAAAAGAAGATTAAGGGGTGACAGTACACAGCTACTCCGGGAACAGAGCTTTGTTCAACTGTCTTTTATTTTTAGTAGCAAAAGCAAAAGTGATTCTCAGTATTTTGAAAATTCAGTAGCAGCAGTATTTCTCATCTCCAGAATGAATCTTTAGTTTTCTTGCTATTAATATTAATTCATTCGAAATCCATGCTCTGTGTTACAGACTCCATGAGTTCAGTGGTCAGATTTACAATCTCTGCCTTGTGGCTGTTTCTCTAATCTGTACCCTTGGGAGGTCTGCGTGAATACCATTTGGTTTATGAAGTGAAAAATTATCCCTGGAAATAAAGCTTGAAATCATTAAAATGTCTGAGATAGCCCTACCACAATGAGCCATCACATTCCTCCAACCACTTCCTCTGAACACTGATTAGATGAAAAAAGCATTTACTCATGGTTGTTGTAATTCAGACACATGGGGCCTGACCAACATTTTTGGCATTGCTACATGCATTTATGAAAGTTACAATAACGCAGAATGCCTGCATAGAGTACTATGGGTGTACACATAAGCAGATAGCAAGTTGCGAGTGAAAATAACTTTTTTGCAAGTAAAAAACTGTTCCTTTTCAATCCAAGATATTCCTCTATCATATACAGTCAACCTGCATAAACTCTGCTCTGAATTCAATCCTTCTTCACCAAATCCTCTCTTCGCTTTAATTCACTGAACTGTAGAGAATGTAATAATAGATTGTTTTAATCATAGAGTAATTTCATCTTGGAATAAGAAATAGCTGTGGTGAGAATCTTTTCCCACTTACTTTGGTAAGAAAATGTATTCCTTGAAACTCAAGAATTGATTAAATGCCCATCACTTCTTACAGCACATCATTAGGGGGACTTTCAATCAATACAGCAAGGTCCCTTTCACCTGTACTGTCACCAAAATGTGGCTTCTGCTTCTAAATGTACCTTTGAACAATGAACTTACAGAATATGGGAAAAAGAGGGACTTTTGTAGGGTGACTTGGTATTTGAACCTTAGAAAGCAAGAGAATAGCAAACAGGATATATACGGACTTGCTCTGACATCACACCTGCTATACCATCATGCAAATTTGCTCTGACAGAAGTGCCAGAATAGTGAAGATGATAATTTAGGGAAGAATATTCCAAGAAGTATCTTTCATTGGTGACACTTCAACTAATTTGAGTCCTAAAAGAAAGAAGACTTGAACCAAGGCTGGTGTGGAACAGCACTTTCCATCTCTGTGGAAATTCACAACTCATTTAGCCCACATTGAGCCTCTGAGACTGAGTGCAACTGCTGTCATAGGATAATTTGCTAATACTCCTAAATATGCATTTCTGCTCCTTTTCTTTCCTCTCCACCTCTCTACATGTGAGTATAACATTGCTTGGCAATTTAAATACTTTCCAAGTATACTTTTTTTTTTTTTTTTTTTTTTTTGGTCTGGAATCTTAGAAACAAAAAATCAGAGAATACCTTCCTGAAAAGAAAATTCAACCCAACACCAGTATGATGTCATGCGAGGAGCCCAGGAAGTCTGCTTTTAGCTCATGATATCAGTTACAGGCTACTGACAGCTGAAATGTTGACAATAGGGTTTTTTTTCCTTTGAAATGGCAGAAATTCTAAACTGTCTTTAGAAATATGCTACTCCAATGACATTTTGGTCAGTTTTGCAGGCTCAGAGTAGCCTGCAAAAACTCAAATTTTGGCTGAGTCCAAAGGATGTAGCCACAGAAAGGCATCTAAGCTATCTTTTACAGAGTACTGACTGATTTTGCAAAGATTTTTTTTCAGTACTTGGAAAAGTGAGTAGAATGTTGTTCTCCCAGAGAGCAAGAGTTTCTTAGGTGTCTATATTCTTATAGTCATGGCAGCTAATTTACTTCCTACAGGAACTATTTATACAAAACTTTCCTTAATGAATGATTTTTTTGCTCACCACTGATTCTAATAACTAAGCAAAAAATTGCTGTCAGAAAACACAAACTTGCATTAACTTTGCTCCATACGAGTACTTACGTATGTATACGAGCCTTTGACACTGTCTCCCACAGCATTCTCCTGCAGAAGCTGGCAGCCAGAGGCTTGGATGGATACACTCTTGGCTGGGTAAGGAGCTGGCTGGAGGGCCGGGCACAGAGAGTGGTGGTGAATGGAGTCAAATCCAGCTGGCGACCGGTCGTGAGTGGTGTTCCCCAGGGGTCGGTGCTGGGGCCTGTCCTCTTCAATATCTTTATTGATGACCTTGATGAGGGCATTGAGTGCACCCTCAGTAAATTCGCAGATGACACCAAATTGGCTGGAAGTGTGGATCTGCCTGGGGGTAGCGAGGCCCTACAGAGGGATCTGGACAGGCTGGAGAGCTGGGCTGGAGCCAATGGGATGAGGTTCAACAAGACCAAATGCCGGGTCCTGCACTTCGGCCACAACAACCCCAGGCGACGCTACAGGCTTGGGGCGGTGTGGCTGGAGGACTGCGTAGAGGAAATGGACCTGGGGGTATTGATTGATGCTCGGCTGAACATGAGCCGACAGTGTGCCCAGGTGGCCAAGAAGGCCAATGGCATCCTGGCTTGCATCAGAAACAGTGTTGCAAGCAGGAGCAGAGAGGTGATTGTTCCCCTATATTCAGCACTCGTGAGGCCGCACCTCGAGTACTGTGTCCAGTTTTGGGCCCCTCACTGCAAGAAAGATATTGAGGCCCTGGAACGTGTTCAAAGGAGGGCAACAAAGCTGGTGAGGGGTCTGGAACACAGGCCATATGAGGAGAGGCTGAAGGAGCTGGGAATGTTCAGCCTGGAGAAGAGGAGGCTCAGGGGAGACCTCATTGCTCTCTATAACTTCCTGAAGGGAGGTTGTAGTGAGCTGGGGGTCGGCCTCTTCTCTTGTGTCATTGGTGATAGGACCAGAGGGAATGGCTTCAAGCTACGGCAGGGGAGATTCAGGCTGGACATGAGGAAGTATTACTTTTCAGAAAGGGTGGTCAGGCACTGGAATGGACTGCCCAGGGAGGTGGTGGAATCGCCGAGCCTGGGGGTGTTCAAGGAAAGGCTGGATGTTGTGTTGAGGGACATGGTTTAGTAGGAGCTATTGGGAATAGGTGAACGGTTGGACTGGGTGATCTTTTAGGTCTTTTCCAACCTTGGTGATTCTATGAAATTCTATGAAATTATATTAGCAGATATAAAGCATCAGGTATTCCATGCTTTTCTAACTGGGCTACTGCCAGTAATGGCTACATAAGACACAGATTCACTGTTCTCAGCTGCTGAGCTGAGGGTAGATCTGATCACGGACAGTCCATTAAAGATCCTTCATGCAGCTGTGTAACTTAAGTATTATAGCAGCTATTCATTTCTGGCTCGAACCAGAAAATATTCCTGTCCTGTCTCCATCCTGCTGAACTGTTTTGCATATTTCCAATTTTTAGTTCTTTTATAGGCTTGTGATAGAGAGTGATTTAATTTCATAATGTGACACTAGGATTAAATGAAAAGTGATAAGTATAGCTTGATAAACACAGAGCACTGATATTTAATGTATTCATCTCCACCCTGCAAGTTTAAAAACAATGATCAGTGATTAGAAAATAAGCTTAGCTTGATTTTATTTATGGAACACAGTTAATGAATCTGTTTTTCACTGAATAATTGCAGTAATTGACTGAAATAGTAGTAGAAAGTGTAACAGTAAACAGGTCAGATCAAGTGCAAATTTAAATGTTTACTCTCTGATGTCTTTTAACCAATTTTTATCTCAACGGACGTGTAGCATTTTCTTGTTGACTTAAATTTTCTTCATATTCCTGTCCAGAATTCAAACATAGGTTTACAGTAATTTTCTGTGGGCAATTACCTTCTATTGCTAGTACAGTTGGTGATCAGATGACAGCATTTTCTTTCTTTCCTTATTGCCCTACAGTGTAAGGATGGCTGTAAAAATAAAAAGTGAAAGTTTGTAAAATCCCTTATGAAGACACCTGATTTTTTCACTCTACATCTTCAAACAAAATTGTGAAATGATGTGGCAGTTTTACATGTTCACAAAATTAATTCACCTTCAGTTTGCCTACAGTGGGAATCCAGAAGCTGTAAAATGGTGCACCATATGTACCACAAGTGACTGCCAGGTATCGATGCCAGTCTGATGAGTACAGATGCCTACTCTGAGGAAATCTGAAGTACTTGTGCATTGAAACATGTTCACAAACTCTTCAGACAGGCTTTCTGTGGGCCTCTATTTCAAACAAACAAAAACAAAAAGAAAAATGAGAGATTTCCCTGAAGATGACACATGTAGGAAAAGAAAATAGCAGTTGCTAGCACTGGCTAAACTTAAATCAGCTAAGGACTGCAAATCATGACAAGTAATTCTGGCCAACTTGGTTTTTAAAATCCTAAGCCTTGATAAACGAGAAAAGCAAAATCTGATCTCCACATCTCTAAGCTTTAGGTTAAATCAATTATCTGAACTGAGTCATCTCAAGTTGCTAAAGGTATAACAACCCTATAAGAGGTTCTCTCTTCTGTCTTCTCTCATTCTATAACATATATAACGAATTATTATTTGAATTTCGTGGATGTTACTGATTCTCAACCTTATCATTGCTAAATTTGCTACTAACTTTGACATTTATTTCTTCTGTTACCAAAATGTACACAGATTTTCAAGCTTGCCCATGCCTTACCAGGAAGAAGTGCAGAGGTCATCAAATTAGAATTAGCCCAAGCTGTAATTTCCACTGAGCACTGTCTTCTGGTCAGGACACATCACGGGTCTCCAGGAAGCAGAGCTTGTTAGTGCAGGCTCAGAGCCATGCTCCTGTGGCAGCAGCACTTCAGGACTTGAGCTAGTTTAGGCCATGCCTGAACCAAAAAAGGATGCCAAATACCAAAAAAAAAAACATCATCTATCAATAAATTCTGAATGTAAGTATGAGCACAGTTGAGTTTTTCAACACATTAATTTATATCAGTAACTTCTACTGAGTATCATGAAAAACACTATGTCAGGCAGCAGAATGAGACCCACGCTACCTTCATAGAGTCATAGAATCATAGAACCATTTGAGTTGGAAGGAACACTTAAAGCACAACAAGTCCAACTCCCCTGCAATGAACAGGGACACCTACAGCTAGAGCAGATTGCTCAGAGCCCCATACAGCCTGACCTTGAGTGTCTCCAGGGATGGGGCATCCTCTAAATCTCTGGTCAGCCTGTTCCAGTGTCTTACCACCTTTACTGTAAAAAACTTCTTCCTTATATCCAAATGAAATTTCCCACCATTCAGTTTGAAACCATTTCCCCTTGTTCTGCCACAGCAGACCCTGCTAAATAGTCTGTGCCCTTTGTAGAGCCCACCTTGAGATACTAACCATCTGTACAAACAATAGAAGATTCCTGTGTTTTAACACTTACCTTATGTATGTGAGCATTGACCATATAATGTACACATTAACATTTGTAATGCAACAGACTGCTTTTTTCATTTTTTGTTAGTTACAAAACCTTATTTGTAACATTTGTAAATGCTCATTCCATTATTTGCAAGCACTAACCAAACACAGATTGTCTGTGCCAAAGGCCAGAGCAGGAAGGTATATCCAGTGGCTGCAATCATCTCAACCTAAAGAGGAAATAAAAAAAGTGCCTGGAAATTTAATTGAAATCTTTAACACAAAGAAAAAACATATAGAGTATTTTGTATTTCTCAAAGGCCAGATTTGCCTTTCTTTAGAAATTCATAATGAAGTAGCTTCAGCAAACCTCCCTCCATCCCTCCCCAAATCTCTTTGCATCAGGTAAAATTGAAATCTTATTAACCTGAGCTAAACATAGCCTGCTTCGACTGGATGGAAGACTTCTACAGGGATAAATGCCATCTCTACAAAGCGTTCTCCCCGGCTGGTCAGGTCCCCAGGTTAATACATATAAATAATGCTTTTGATTTATGTTATAGGCAGCTGTAACAGATGAATGGCTTTAATTTACCAAGCTAGCAAATCAGCATTTTTTTAACAAAAAGTAAATTCCTTCCTTGCCAATGCAATTGAGAAGGCTTAGAAAGGCTTACGACATGGACTCTGTAGCTGATCAGTAACCCAGAGGAACTGTCTCTGTCCCCACTGAAAATAATGGTCTGTTTCTGTGTCTGTTAGTAAAGGTGTGACCTATCAGTTATTGGTGGAAACAAAGTACACAATAAATAAATCCCTCATGGTATTTGTCTGAGTATCTTCTGTATTTGAAATGTCAAACAGAGAACTTTCACTCAAAATTCAGCCTTCCTCATTTCTAATTAATCTCACCAAAATCTTCATCAGAGATGAAGGCTGGAGTGATCTTCCTGCAGCTTTTACCAGCTGGCTTTTACCAAATATTTAGCATTCGCAAATCCACTGAATTCAACTGCTTCAGATGCCAAAATAAGGCTTATGTATGAAATACTAACTTTGACACCATTAAAGGCTGACAGTCTTACAAAGCAAATGCACCAGATCGATAACCCAGAATCAAAGAAGCGTTCTGCTTCCCACTTTCCATACCCATACACAGGAAGATAACCAGGTGTAGTAAGGAAATTATCTGTATCCTGCTTGCTTTTCCTGTTGGTGACGCCACTTTGCCTGTAACTATCACTTAAAATTACTGAAGACTGCATCATCTGAGATAGGTCAGTATGTATATCTGAATAGCTTGGACATAACATATAAACATATGTACAACTACCCCTTAATGCACCTTTCTTATTTGGAAATGCGATGTGTTTGCTTTCTGTTATTACCATCAGATATTTGTTTCACCCCATTTCATCTGGAGTTCGTATAGACATAATAAACATCAGTCCGGATGGTGATCCTCAGATCAGCAGTGCTATAGTCTGAGTCTTCACAGTACCAAAATATCAACAGCCCAAAGTCCTGGTTGTGTGTAACTGAAAGACAGAACTATTGAGACATTTAATCAGGATACTTTTACTGATGGCGATACTCTTCTTAGGCATCCTTTGCAATATGATTTGATGAGAAGAAATAGTACATCTAACAAGAAAAACTTGTTTACTTGTCTTGTTTATTCTTTTATGATAGAAGAACTATCTTTGGTGTTCTACTTCTCCTTTTTTAACCAGTAAGTAAAATAATGTAAACAAAAACCACATATCTCAACCTAGCTCATTCTTTAATGTGGCATTCAACTAATTTCCATTAGGGTCATGTTTATAGTTGAATTTTTAGTTTATTGTCATACATCACATCCAAGCTAATTATGGACTCAGAAAAATAAGAATGCCTGAGTTAGTAGAGAGTGGAGTTTTCAATTAAAATATAAAATATTTTTTTTGGCAAGGATCACAAGATGGTGCTATTACACATGGCCATTGATATCAATCTTCATCCCCTTTTAGATATTTAAATTATTCTTTAATGTAAGAAGAAATATTGTGTTACATTGGAGTGCATTTGAGATTTTGTTTTTCTGAGAATGTTTTTTATAAGTACTTATCTCATTTCCAGGTCTGAGATACAGTTTCTTAGTAAAATAAGTCTGCCAGAGAGTCTGCCACACTGAGTCATTGGAAATGGAAGCAGATAGTTAAAGGTGCCAGGCGCACAATCCTATATAGTTTTAATTTGGGGCTTTCTAGTTCAAAACTCATGAATAAAAAGGCCAAGTTTTTCCATATCTTTTAATCATTGCAAGTGACCAATAATCTAAAATTAAAGCAATGTAACCAAGCTATACAAGGAAATAGACTTGCTATATAATCTGCATAGTGTATCTGGGTTTCATTTTACCACACTGGTTTAATAGCTTATTACAGCAATCCAGCTGGTGTTCCAGGAATAGATCATTTTGCTGCTATGAGTGGGATTTTTTTTGTTCTCACATTTATCAAATATTCTGGCCAGCTGGCAGTCTTTGCATGCTTGGCTTCATACTGCACCAGCCCCAGTGAGTGCAAATAATCTATAAAACCTTGATGTGGAGGATTAGATGGGTTCTAAGAGGACATCTGTGAAAACATGGGTGAAAACCTTTGGAGACTTCTGCAGTCACTTGCCAAAGGTGTGTCTGTTCCTTTTCCACATGGCTGGGTATTATGTAACAACACACAGTAATGCACTTGCCTGCAGAGTCAGAGAAAATAAATTGAAAGCATATAATTAAGCAGCACAGGAATATGGTTTTACCATATGCAGAAAACCATTCAAAACCTGCTGCTTAGTGAAGGGCTCATATGAAAACCAGGGAAAAAAGATCATATTTTCCTGTTGTTTTTGGTTTGTTTTTTTTTTTCCTTTTTTAGTCAGGAGAAAATATGGGATCCTCTTGTCACAGGCTTAACTGAAATTCAGTCCTGGCATTCTGCTCTGCCAACCCAACAAATATCATCACCCTCTAAAGAATGTGGTTAGCCTATGGAGCTTTGATATACAGACTGTAAAGACAACTTTACCAGGGGTTACATTTTAAAACCAAAGAAAACAGAAACACTGATTAAGCTGCTAAACCTTTTTTGCTTTCTTCTGACTTTACCGTCCTTATTCAGTACACTGAAGGTTAGGGGCTTCTACAAAGCAAAGGAACGTGTAAGAAACTTACTCCCATAGTCTGAAAACCTAAAGCACCTACTCCAAACAGGAGAGTGGAGCAGGTGCGCTTTGAGGTTATGACTGAAATGCAAACAAAAATAAAAGAAGGAGCATCACACTGTGACCCATCAGAAGTCTAGTAAACATCCTCAGGTGCTGTTGTTTAAAGAAGAAATGCAAACTGGGAAAGGAGGGATCCGGTTTGCAATTGAAACTCAAATTGAAGGGTTTATGTGTAGGCATCTTGATTCAAAATTGGGTCCGTAGAGTCAGCACAGCACTAGCAGCAGCAGGGCTCAGCATCCCCATCAAAACAAATGTCTATCACCCCTATCTGTCTTGCAGAGAACATTGCCCAGCCTTGCACTGCACCCCAGGAACATCTGAAGCACCTTCAGGTCCAGCATCATACCTGCCAGCTCCTGAGGAGTGCTATCTCCAGCTGATACAGCACACCTAGCAGCTGGAAGAGTGCTGTTTAAGCTATATGAACTGGACGCTTACCAGAGGGTACAGCTCACACACATTTGGTCTAGTGAGGATATGAGAACTTCCTATGTGAGTGACTGAAGTCGAACAGGAGTGCTCCTGGGGTGTGTGGTCATGCTGAGTCAGATCTGAAAGAAATCTCCTTTCCTGGTACTCCCAGACTGCTTCAGGATGGGAAACAAAGGCTGAAAGGGAAAAGGGGGAAACTATCTTCAGAAGGATAACCAAATTAAAGTGCTAATACCTAGACTTTTCAGGGCAGTTCAAATGGAATTAGACACTTTTTGACTGGGCTGCTGAATTTCTTTCTTGATATCTATTTATGGTGAACTGGTTTGAATTTCTCCATTCATTTTCATTGCCTAGACCTTTTTTTAGTATAACAAGAATCTGGACACAAGTAGATCCCAAATGTGTCCCAGTCTGGAAACAGATCCCCTCCATCCAAGAGTGTCCAAATGCAATATTAAAAAGTATGTGGCAGGAACTGAACAGGTGCTGCTACAAATTGAAACCTAGGAGCACGTGTAACATATGGATAGGGCAATTAGTGAGTTAAATGTGTGTGAAGGAAGATGACTGCCAACAGCAAACGCATGTTATAGCGTATATGGGCCTGGTTGCACTCCCAGAAAGGAGAGACACCCTACCCAAGTGCCATGTTATTGCTCATCCACTATGAGTGAAGTGAAGACCACGATTTGTGCCCCCAGGAGCAGGAGCTCCAGAGGAGGCACCAGGATCACTGGTGGCTCAACTGAAGAGACTGGGTTACCTTTTGTTCCCTGTGAGCTGGGCTATCTCAGAAACAGCAAGATGCATCAGTACTTACCTCAGGATAAGATATGCACTCTCATTAACAGATTAGTAATAGTTCTAGCTTTCAGCAGCATATTTTCAGTCCCAAAGAACTTTTGTATCTTATTGGCTTATATTAGATGCCTTGTACAACTTTTTTCAAAGTCAGATACCATCCACAGTATGAATTGTACTGTTTAATGCACTCAGAGCAGATATTTATTTTTATTTACTTTTTATTTATTTATTTTTTCCCATCTTCCTGCTGGGGAACAGTGCAAATAAAAAAATGCATGCAAAAAAAGAAGATGACGTCTAGTCTTTTTAAAAATGTGGTCTAAAACTGAATTTTAAAAATAATTTGAAATCAAGCTGAGTGAGAAGACAAATGTAAATCTAACGTAGGAAAGTTTAGAAACATTTTTCAAAAACAAATATTTTCACATTTCCATTTTTAAGCCTCAATACAGTTTTGGCTTTGAGTATCAATTTCACAGTTACTATATTATATATTTTTAATTATTTTATATTTCTTCTGTAAAAGAGAACTTCTATGAATCCATCTCAGAATAATGGATTTTCTAGTTTATGCTGAGGATAATGTTTTCCTTATTTATGGAGATCTGGGAAAGCCATTTTCGAATATCATACTTTCTTGATAGACAATTTAATGTATAGGCCATGACCCAAATGCTTAAAACATTTTAGCAGCATCACTGCAAACCAATATGTTTCTAATAACATAGACTCACAGCACATGCATTTTGGCAGATAATTCTTTAGTGTGTTGTTCAGCAGAAGTAAACATTTGCCAGTAAAGTGAAAAGTTCTAAAGCTGTCGTATATAACCCACCAAAATCTTATAGGTTGTTTCTTCAGGATTTGTCCCTGTTTCTTGCTGCTCAGCTCACTTGTGAAAGGGAAAGAAAAAAAAAAAAGGAAGAAAAACCCTGAAACTAAAAATTAAATATTGATCCATGTGAAAAATTGCTTTAGCTCTGTGAAGAAAGAAGGCAGATTTTCTACAAGACAAAGGCCAGGTCAATGTCGGGAATCAGCAGATGCTGCTCAGTTGAACTATTAGTTGAAATAATTGCATCTGCAGGGGATTGGGTTTGTCTGCGAAGAATATGGGAATCTCTAAATTAAAGGGATATACTTTAACAGAGAGGATATGCACATTCACCCTAATAGAGGGTAATATATTAAATGCAAGGAGAAACCAATGTGGCATTTCTGATTTTCCTGTACATAATTTTAAGAATATTTGAATGATTTTATTTATTAAAAGATCTTAATATTGTCTCTGCAAAACTCAAGCAGCACTAAAATTCTGTAGTCTAGACTTTTCTGTAGCAAGGATTGTCCTGGGAGTGGGACATTCTTTTGGTTTTAAACTGAGAAGTTATCAAACCATATTATCAAGCATTTCTGTCTCTCATTAGAAATGAAATACATATTGTTAAGTCTGAATTAGAAAGAAATTTGAGAGGTTTGATGTACATGTGCACGAGAAAACTGTAAACAAAAAATTAGTGCAGGTGGGAATGACAGCAAAATTGTAAGGTATGAAAGAACCTCCCTCCTGAAAATATTGGATGATGTTGACAAACCAAATAATCTTTTATTTTATAGTATTGGGATTCTTTATGTTTCACATAAAACTCAAGGATTACCTGAAAACACAAGTATTCTCAGAAAAACAGGGACACCTTGCAGAGTTGTAAAGCTTTAACCCAGATTTAATCTTCTCCAGTATGTAAACTTCAGTGTGTCCCTTTTAGAGATCTGGACTATCAGCAATCTGACTCTCAGTTTTGGATTTAGTCAGCTAAACAACATAAACAGAATGAGTACCTTTATTTAATTCTGCATTCAGCATTAAGATACTATCCTTCTTTTGCACAAATTTCACTTTGTAATATTGTGAAGATTTTTATGGCCATACTGAAAACAAAAGACATCTTCTACTGTGTAATATGAAGATGCTGATAAGTCCTGAGTTTCCTAAGCATAAATCTATTAGAAATTCTACTTATTTTAAGACAGGAGCTTTTCTAGAGATATTACTGAAAGCAAGGCACGATTTTTTAACTTCGTCCTTGTCTTACTGCTTTTCCTACCCTCATTTCCTTCGTCTTTTCACTTACAAAGTAAAATTCACACACAGGACTGAATTTTCAAACTGTTGTGCCATGATTTCATCTTTGCCTCTTCTGCTGACTTCTTAATGGGAGCTATCTGGGAAAAATCCCAAATAGCTTTATGAAAATGTAGCCTTCTGCAGCTTTCTCTGTGAGTGACAAGGGCAACGATTGCAGAGGTGGGAGGTAAGAGATAGATAATAAGGAATTTCAACTCAGAGTATCTTTATGACACATGAAAGGTGAATTGAAAATGCTTTCATTTGGAAATTAATTTTCATGGCTTTTAAGGTGATTGATGAGATGACTCAGATCTACCCAGCAGTGGTCACTGTGTTGTAACAGCAGAAAGCTTGCAGAGTGAGCGTATGTATCATGCATTTTACAGCTACAGCTGTCTGTCCACCTATTTAAATGTATCTGAACAACTAAAAGTATTGCATTACTAGGATACAAAAACAGTTAATTGGAATCTTGTGAATAAATATATATTTTTTTTCCACAAGCAAAGTAAGTGTGTTAAAAATAGGACCTGCTACATCATGGAGGCACCAGTTTCAGGAAGAAAGAACAGATGAAAGTTAGTCACATGTGGAGAAGATGAGGGGAATGGAAAAATGGTGAGCATGAGGGTGGGCCTCAAACTTAACCCAGAATCCACAAGAGCCTAATGGCGGAGACACTTATCTGAAGCATAGGAGATCAAGGTTCAAGTCTTTGGTCTTTTGGTTCAAATAGGTTTGAACTTGGATTTCCCATGTTAGTTGGCTGAACTCAGTCAGCCTTCCCCAGTGCAAAGGGAGCCTGGGAAGGTCAGGCCAAATCAGTCAAACCCTTATGCCTACTCCTCTGTGATGTGTGAGACCCTGCAGTGCGCTTTGGTCTCAGCTGAGTACTTGGAGATGATAGAAGAATCAGTCTCTCTCTCTTCCACCTTTGTCTTTTTTTCTTTTTTTTTTTCTCTCTCTTCTTCTTATGAGAAGCTTTTAGACGTTCATCCCAGTGTGGGACAGGATTTTTTTTTAATCTTGACAACTTTATTGGAGCAGGGAATAGCCTTTCCACCCAGTTCTATGTGCAAGCATTTCATTTTCCCCTCAGGATATTAAGATCACACTGAATTCTGAATTGAAGATCAAGACTCAGATATGTCTCAGGCTACTTTGAAATTAAGCTTAAATATTCCAATGAATATTTAGCTAAGGATCATTAGGTTTGTAAGAAGTGATCCAACACTACTGTTGATCTGAATGATGAATTTTTTATTGCTTTCCTTCTCATCAATTCTACTTTCAAAGCCTTGAAAATTACATCTCTTTGTGGTTTTGCCTTTTAGTGGTATAGGTTTACAGAAAGCAATACTGAAAAGGAATGTCATGACTGGTATTTAAATGTCGCTGTGCACAGTCCCAGCCGCCTGCCTGTCTGCAGTGGGGATGCTGACAGAGCCCTCCACTCCCATGTCCATGGCCTTTCGGCAGCACCAGGGCTCAGGGAGCATCTCCTCAGCCTCAGCCAAGGCTGAGTTCCCAGGCCTGTTTAAAAAAACACATCTCACAAGGCAGCTAACCCAGCCTTTTGCTTAAAAGCAAGATCAATTATTTTAGAATAACTTCCTCAGGCAGCCTATTCTGGTGCTCCTATTTTTACAGCTGGAAAGTTTTCTTAATGTCTAATTAGAATCTCTCTTGCCATGACTTAAAACCCTTACTTTCTTTTCCAATCCCAGAATGCTTTATTCCTTCCTGTATACAGTAGCCCGGTTTTCTTTCCCAAATAATTTATCCTCTCCTCTCCTCTCCTCTCCTCTCCTCTCCTCTCCTC